CGGTCAAAGTGTGCCGTGTAAATTGGAGAGCAGTTCTTATAGCATTTTGTCTGATATTTCTGAATCTGATGGAATTTTTTGAAGAAAGTGGTCACAAAGTGAACTTTTCTGACATTACAATGAAATATAAAATTTTACCAAGTCCGGACCTGAGTCTCCTCATGAAACACCCTGTATATACAATAATTTGAAAACAGAGTACCTATCTGAGTAATTTGTCCTATATTAGCCTTGATTATGATCAGGGCTTAGGGCTTTCAAATAAATACTGTGCGATCTCCCAATACTCAATGATCATCTTATTGGTAGTTCCTTCATGGTGCCCTGTTTTTTTCCTCAGAATGCTTCAGCTTGCTCTTATATTGCCGAGGATGACCTCGTGAAATCTTGGTTGGCCTCGTATCGTTTCACCCCCGGTGCACCACCCCTTTTGAAATTATTTGAATTTACTTATCTCTTTTGTTGGACCATGAAGCTATATGATGATAATTCGATTTAGAAATATTTTTTTATCATTTCATCGAGGGTTGAAGGTCTAGGGAAGTTTTTTGTGCAGCTGCAGGAAGTACTCGGCATGTAGGAAATTTTGGGAGGCACCAGGAAGGTTACATATTATGCAAAATGCCCATTGTGATATCTTAGTCACAATACTGAATATTTATTTCTGTTGTTAATTGATATACCTACTTATAACATGTCAATACAATTCTGAGCAAATATAAATTCTCATTAAAGTACATTGGAGTTATTGATGAAATCCTCCATGTAAAATCACACATACATCTGATATTTCAGTCAGGACTAGAGCTTATACACCACCTGGAATTCTGAATATTTCAAGTCACTCAAATGGAAAATCATGTCTAAGAGAAATAATTGTAAACGTCTACATAGTTCATCCTGCAAATGTATAGTGTGTCTAAATGTACCAAATTTAGTTTGTTCTAAAATTTCAGTGGCCAAGTAATTTTCCGTATCAATGTAAGAACAGTAAAATATTTAAATTAAATATGTAAAAGACTGTATATTTGTGAGTTTACCTAGAAATTTTCCATTTGAGTCAGTATTTCGAAATAAATTGAAACAATTCATCATCAATGGCTAGATTTCACATAAAATTTTGACATATAACATAATTCATTAACACCAGTTGGTACTGTTGTTTGCGAAGAACAATTTTGTATTTGAGTAGGTACTCAAGGGCACTGGAGTACACAGAAGTAAAAACATTAAGGGAAGAAGAATAAGAAATAGGGAACTGGACGAGGAAACATTCTGCTTTAGAGCATTCAACTAATTCAGATTATTATAATGTATATTATGTGATGACGTTTTATGGATGTGGTTAAAATGTTTTTTCTCATAACTTTCGAAATCACTTCATAATTTGAAAAATGTATCCAAATATCTCACTCTCCTGACCAATGATACTACCAATGAGAAACTAAAAACAATATAGTACATATGACTCAATTCATTGTCTCCTATTGCAATTGAGATTGTGTGGTTTTTTTTGCAAGATCATTATAGGTAATGTTGGCTTTCTTAAATGATCAACATTACAATTCCAGTACTGTTTGATTATTTTCAAATTTATGTTTTTAGAATTTTCCACAAGAAAGTCCATATTTTTCATACAATCAGATTAAATCGAATTGAAAATTTCTAAATACATTATTTCTCACCTCACACAAAAAGTAGTACTTTGAGGATTTCCATCCCCTGCCCATTTTATGTTCTCATTCTGTCCTTCTCATGAGATCCTTGGGAAATTGGAAAAAAATTAGTCCCCCTTTTGTTCGTTTATTGCCACAAGCAATACAAGACTCAGGCATCTGGGAGGAAATAAAAATGTTTTCTTTCAAATCAATACAAAATCATAATTATCAAAACTGTTTTCCAGCTGTTTTCTATCTTATCTAATTGATTAAAGAAATTGAATTGATTCTACCCTATCAGATAATGATAGTATGATAATATAAGGTATATGGGTTTCTATTTTTCATGTAGATATACTGAGAAATCGATGGCATCTAGGTTACTTCATAATAAGCATTCTAAGTTGTAAGTAGAAATAGAAATAACGATTCACCCCAACTGGAAAACATTCAAGACATTGCACAATACTTTCCATCCCAATACAAATGTCCATAACTCAGTAATCGCTTTCATCTTCTGTGCTGTTACCATTTGACTTCACAAATGAAAAGAAGGATTTTTGTATTGAGTGTAGGTAGGTATATATTTCTTAAATTATGCAAAACCCTTTCAACTTCAATGCTTCAGATCAGTACCTACAGTACAAAAGTAGTTATTTTCTGTGAGAATTCACATTTGTATCAGATTTCAGATATTTTTTTGATATTTAATTTTTTTTTCATGTTCATAGTAATATCTGAAGAATACACCCTATCAAAAAATTACCTATATTGTTAATAAAATTGTATTCGATATTATAAAATGAGTTGTTCTTTCAGCCACCATTTATGCTGATAGTTATTTAACCAACTAGTGTATTAATGAGGGCGATTAATATACAAGTTGGTTACAAAATTTTTCCGTCGACTATATTTCTCATTCCTTCTGCAATGAAGAAAACTTGGTTCGCGAATTCATCATTCATCCGGAAACTGCTAAGAACACAAGAATCACCCAGTAGCCTTGTTACTGACATTAGTGACATTTGACATTTGTCGAAATGATCAACATAAAAAATAAATTCCTTGTATCAGAAAACAGGGATAAAAATCGTGTCAGAAACTTGAAAAGGCGAACCCGTCAACGGAAAATCTTCGATGAAATCCATATTTTCGATTTAAATGCAGATTCCGTAAGTTATAGCATAAACAATGAATGCATGCGGTGTATGTTGCCTATAAAACAATCGTGCATTAATAGACAAATCGTTTATTGATAGGTGTCATTAATGAACGATTTCATATACATTAAACTTAGTCGTTAATACGAGGTCGACGGTAAAGAAGGATTATTGCATAATACAAAAATTCTTACGATGAAGAGTTCTTCGGTTCTCTCAAAATTCTCAAATTTATGTTTTTTATGGTGAATTTATGCAGCAATTTTAAGTCATAAGTTGTAAGTCGTAAGTTTTAAGTAATAAGCTTTAAGTCATAAGGAGAAGAATGAGCATTCATGCAGAGATTATTAAGGACTGTCATGTCATAACCTGTGTCAATCCTGTGTCATAACTGTCATACGGATAGCTTTTCTCATTGGTCAGGTTCGCGTGACAGCTAATGTTCTCAGACTTCTTAGTTCGAGGTTAGGTTCTTGTCGCTCAGCTGTTTGTGTTTGTTTATTGTAATTTTTCGATATTACTTGAAGACTTGACTTGAAATAGATTTCGGTGAATGATGCCAGGAAGTATAGAAGAGAAGGCAACTATTATGTTGATGTTGACACTATTAACGACAAGTTCTTTGCTTCTATTTAACAAAAAAAGAAACCCAAGGAGATACTCAGTTCGTCCCATAAATAGGAATAGGAAGGAAAAGGGCATGTTCAATAATGTCTTGACGAGCATGTTAGAAAACGATGAAGATAGCTTCTTCAAATATTGTAGGATGACCCCGAAATTATTTTTCAATCTTCTGCAATTGGTAGAGCCCTTTTTACAGAAGGATAAGACAAAACGCCCCCTGTCACCTGCTCAACGTCTGATCATAACATTACAGTGAGTATACACTTCCACAGTAGAAATTTATTGATAACCTTGATATAATTGCAGTTATTTGGCTGAGGGTTGTTCAATGCAAGAATTGGCATGGGGTCACATGATTGGCCATTCCACAGTTTGTGTTATCATTCATGAAACGACAAAAGTTTTGTGGGATGTATTAGCACCAATTTATTTAAAATCTCCGTCAACTGAAGAATGGCAGAAAATATCAGATGGGTTTTACAAGAGATGGAACTTTCCAAATTGTTTAGGGGCAATCGATGGAAAGCATATATTGCGATTCAAGCACCATACCATGGAGGATCCCTATATTTTAATTACAAAAAACATCACAGTATTGTGTTGATGGCCAGCTGTGATGCCTTTTATAGATTCACTGCAATAGATATTGGTGCAGCAGGAAGTAACCATGACTCGACTGTTTTCAAAGAGTCTGGTTTTGGACATGCGATTTTGAAAAATGAATTGAGATTACCCCAAGATTCGGAATTACCTAATACCAATGTTATCTTTCCCCATGTATTCGTTGCTGATGCTGCTTTTCCTCTAACCCACCACATAATGAGGCCATATCCACAGCAAAATGCAGGAGAGAGAATAAGAATTTTTAATTATAGGTTGTCCAGGGCCAGACGTACAATTGAAAATACTTTTGGAATACTGGCACAGAGATGGCGTATTCTGAGAAAACCAATAATTGGTGATGTAAGCACCTGCGAGAATATTGCTCTGGCGACTGTTGTGCTCCATAATTATCTTCAGAGAGCTGAGGAAGATATACCTCTTGAGGAAAGACACTATTGTCCCACAGGTTACACAGATTATGAAACCTCTGATGGTACTGTAATACCTGGAGCATGGCGGGAAGAGAGGAATTATCTCAGAAGTGTGGGCAGATTGGGTGCTAACAATGCACAAGCACCTGTAAGAGCCAATAGGGACATCTTATGTGACTACTTCAACAGCCAAGTAGGAAGTGTACCTTGGCAGTTAGAAAGCATCTTGAAGGGTTCACTACCTGATAATTTTTAGCTGTTGATTTTAAATTTAAATGATGCTGGTTTTTCTTTTTTTATAATAACTTTAAAATAAATTGATGATGAAATACTCTAGGACCATTATTCCTCCAGCAGTACTAATCAAAGACTAATACAGTCCATTCATGTATAATTTTTACTTGGGATGGTATAAATGAAAAGTTAACAAAATCTGAACTAAAATGTATATTGATATAACTTCAACAGGTACCTAGGGAGATAAAAAGCACAAAAAAGTAAAAAAATAAAAAATCAGGTACAGGGGTTTGCTAAAATAAAAAATAATTCTCTTTCAACAAAACAGGTACAAGAAATGAAAATGATATTATTAAAAGGGAAAAAACAACATAAGTAACATTCTCAGTCAGATAAAAAAATATAGGAACTGACATAAAACAAAAATGATCATAAATCTCACAGGTTGTCCATTTCTAAACACAGAACAAGGGAAGGTATACCTGGGTAGATATTTAAAAACCATCAAAGAATTTCACAATATATACCTTCCCATGTGCTTCAGTTCAAACTTGACAAAGTTTATTGCATCTGTTCATTTTTGCCAGGTGAAGAATCTTGATTATTTCCTGCTTGGCAGTGAATTTGACATTGATATTTTCAATGCTCCCTAATTCAGCAGCCACTATCCTTCCGAATAAACAATCAGGTTGTTCCTCTTTTTGGCTGCTTTGGTTGATAACTTTGTCAAATTTAGACCAAGCACTATTCATTGTTTCAATGAGTGTTGATTGCTGACTTATCTTTCTCCTCTTCTCTTGGCGCTCATTTCGCAAAATGCTAATAGATGGTGAAGATTTTTTGGCAGGTGTAGTTGAAGTTGTGGTACCAGGAAGAGGTTCTTCATGGTTCAATTTTCTTTTTCCTGTGGCAGTTCTTTCTGGCTCTGCATCATCACTGACTAGCTCAATATCTGACATGGGATCAAGATTTTCATCACGCCCTGCTTCCTCAATATGTTGTGGTTCATTTGTATTGAATATTTCAGACATGGTATCCCATACATTATCAGATTGACTTGAATCTTCTATTTCCTGACTTTGTAGAGGTTTGGATACATTACCTTTTGTCCTGAAAATAATTGCTGCATCAGAGATATCTTGAACAATAATTCAAAACATCTATAAAACATACTTCCTTCTTCGAACATATTCAGAGAGAAACCCCATTTCCTCCAACCAAACCCACGTCTTCCCCTTTCCACCTGAACCAGAAGGTACCACTTTAACTTTTTTCGATTCTCTGGTAAACAAGTTTCGAAGGGTAGCCCAACGCGCTTCACATTCTGCAGCTTTAAAAATCAAAAACATAGTTCATCTATTCAATGGAATCTCAAAATAAAAACTTTACCTGGGCGGTGCATGGTTTCACTGATAGTTTTCCAGGCATTGCTTTTTTTTTCATGATTCCTATAATCTTGATGTTTCATATCATAAATTATTGAAAATTGTCGAACAATTTCTATAAGTTGGCCGTCGTCAATTTCCATTTTGCCGAATTAGGGAATGATAAGAAATAAGAATGTAATAAACGAAAAAAAATAAATAAATACAATTACATTAACCTCACATTTTTCAGAAATGACGGGAATGACACAAAAGTCACGAAACACAGAATGTGAAATTTTACACGCATGCGTATATACAATCAGTTTTAAGTTATAAGTCGTAAGAGATAAAAGTTGGCCAACTTTCTTACGACTTAAATCTTGCAACTTGAAACTTAAAACTTAGGTAAAGTGTATAAATGAGAACATTGAAAACTAATGAATCAACTCCTTATGACTTATGACTTAAAACTTACGACTTACAACTTATGACTTAAAATTGCTGCATAAATCCACCATTATTTCATTTCTCGAAAGTTTATAAACCAATCACAGTTTTTCCTGCAATGGTAAACAGTAAACACTAAACAGACAAACTGAACAACAACAAACAGCAAGAAACAGTGAAAAAGTGACACAGAATGCATAGAATCATAGAGAATGCTGGAGAAAACGAAACAGGCGGCTGCACCTCCATCTTAATGGCCTGACCAATCAAAACGTGAACCACTATTCAGGTTTTGATAGATTTTTATTGTCTGATATCCTATATTACAATTCTAAAGTCATCCTAAATTTCCCTAATGCTGTTATAGGACTCTGGTGTCCTTTTCAGCATGTTAAAGTGAAGTTTTTGTTTGTATATAGGAAAAAGAAGAAAGATTTGATCTAGCTGTTATTTCAGGTTCGGAGAGACAGGATGCGGCCTTATTATTTCCCCGGTTCTAATTGATGCCCATTTGGCGCGAATCATGGGAAACCGCAGAAAACTATGATCGCAACAATGTACAATTGCTTATATGGTATGGTATAGTTGAGTTCTTCTGTTTATCTTGGTCCTTTCTGGCCTTTTAGGGGCCGGTGGGCTTCTGACTGGAAGAATGAAATACCTAAGATTAGGGCTCTGGAATATTGGAATTCAGAGTCAGTGATGACTCTGATTAGGGTGGTGGGTAGGTTTGTTGCCCTGGAGGTGATTCTTTAGAATTCAATGGTTGGGAATTGTATTTGTTCAAAGGATTCTTCCAAATCCTCCATGGTGATGTCTTTGAGGACAACCTTGATCACCATGGAAAACGTGGGATTCCTCTTCACTGGATTTTTATATGGAATATTTTTAGGATTGAGGAGGATTACACGAATATAGTTTTCTCCTGTTGCATTTTTCAGTTTCATTTCGAGTTGGGATTGTGATATTTGTGAGGTGGTTTTGAGTAGTGCTGTCTGGTTTAGGTTGGCCTTCAGGTATAGAATTTGGTTTCTTGAAATCTCGTTAGTATTTAGGAGGTTGCGTGACTCTTTCTGTGATCTGAATTTGATAGGGAGGGATCTCAGGTTGAAGGTTTGTGGGGATGTGAGGTGATTGTTGTTCGGGGGTTGTTGTGTTGTTGGTGTTTTTGGAGGAGGGTGTGGAAAGGGGGTTGGGGGTGCTAGTGATGTTATTTGCTTTAAGAGCGGTGGAAAAATCTAGTGATTTATTAATATTGTGCAACATTGTTGCATCGGCGAAGGAGTTGTTGGACTCTAGAGAGTCGTCCTTAATTGGGGATAAGGATGAGGGAGTTTGGGGCTGTGGGGTAGAGGAGGTGGATCTTGTTGTCATCTGCGAGTTTTTTTTATGTTTTTCAGTAGGCATAGTGAATGTCGAGATTATGAGTGTGATCAGGTATAGTAAATGAAACAATTGGGACAATTTTTAAATCGACTCACCCCTTTCACTGTTCACTCACTCGTCACTCCACTACACTCTACTGGCACTTTCGCTTTTGATCGCTGTTCGTTGGTTTTGGCACAAGTTCACCCCGCTGTTTCTACCTGGGACTATAGTTTGGGTCAGGGACTAATCCTTTAGGTGTCGACTCTGCTGAGCTCGCTGGTACACTGTCGGAACCACTACCACGCCCCCCGAAAGGTTGAATGCCCAGGATCAAGTGCCGCCATATAACTAGCTTACGTTATATGATAGCTCCTCATCCCCATGTCCATCCACCCCCACTCACTAACGAGTGGACTTCAACCTTATGCATTTGGCAATCTGCATATGTTTTATATAACCCCTTACTTGGTTTCAGTCTTCCGACTTTTAAACCTTTTTGTCTAATGTGTGTTTCCTAGCCTGACTTTGCGTGGTGGTTCCCTACCCTAATGGGAAGCAAAAAATTGTGTTTATGTCTTATTATTATTGGTTAACTATTTATAGGGTGTCAAGGGAGAGACTCTTTTGTTTATTTATCTGATGATTATTATGCAACTTTTATTGATATTGATTTTATTCCGTTCTTTTATCTTATATTTGATGAATTGGGCGCCTGTACTTTATTCTTCCGAAGCGCGGGTCTTGATTTAATTGTCTGTTGGTCAGGTCGTGCAGTAGCGGGTTCTCGTGGGTTTCCGTTCTTCCGAATGTAGTCTCCGCGTGTTGTCTTATGTAGTTGTCTATGTAGTCTGGGTTTATGTTCAGGTCCCTATAGATAAATCTATTTGGGATATACCATGGGGCGTTTACTGCCATTCTTATTGAGACATTTAGAAATGCCTGTATTCGCTTTTTGTATGTTTCTGCGCATTGGCCCCATGCACTTGATGCATACAAAATTATTGGAAGTAGAATGGTTCTTATTAGGCGCAGCTTCAACTCTAGAGCCATGTTGCTTCTGCGACCTATTAGAGGCTGTAGGTTTTGCCTTGCGGCTTTACCCAAGTTTAGTCGTGTTGTGATGTGTTGTCTGAAGGTGAGTTTGTTATCTAGGGTTACCCCTAGATATTTAGCCTCGTCTGCCCATGGTATCTGTATGTCGTTTAGTATTACGTGTCCTGTAGAATTTGTGCGTCGTCTAGTGAAGAGAACAGCTTGGCTTTTCTCTGCGTTGATTTCTATCTTCCAGTTATTGAACCAGGTTTCTAGTGTGTCGATTTGTTCTTGTAGGTATCGTACTGTCATGTCTGCGTTACTGGATCTGGCAATTATGGCTGTGTCGTCGGCGTATAGTGCGAGTTTGTTGAAGTTGTTCGCGGGTTTAGGGATATCTGCGATAAAAATGGAGAAAAGTAGTGGTGAAAGGACCGCGCCTTGCGGAACTCCTGCTTCTAGCTCCCTCTCTGCAGAGATTTCGTTGCCAACTTTACATTGGCATCGCCTTCCCCGCAGAACGGAGGCTATTAGCTTTACCATAGATATCGGGTACCCGTAGTCTGTCATTTTGGTCAGTAGTCCGTCGTGCCAGACCCTGTCGAATGCTTTCGAAACGTCAAGGAAGACTGCTCCAGTATAATGTCCTTTTCCGAGATTGAATCCTGTAATCGCGTAATCTACTATTCTGAGAACTTGGAGTTCTGTGCAATGGTTTCTCCTGAAACCGAATTGTTCGTTTGGGATCACGTTTAATTCCTCAGACATTGTTGTTAGTCGTCTTTGGATGACTCGTTCTGCCACTTTGCTCATGGATGGGAGCAAACTGATAGGACGGTGGTTTTGTGGAAACGTGTGATTTTTGTTTGGTTTTGAGATCATTATTACTGTAGCAATCTTCCAATCATTTGGAAAGTAACGTAGTCTCAGTATAGCGTTGATAATGTTTGTCAGTGCGGCTATTCCGCGTCTCGGCAGGGCCTTAAGGGCCCTGTTTGGTATGTTGTCCATGCCTGGGGCTTTACGCGTCTTTAGGTTTTTTATTATCTAAGCTCTTCCGGTGAGCTGGGGTCTATGATGAGGTTCGTGTCGTCTGTGAGTCTGATTTGTCTTTTCGTTCTGTTTGTGTGTCGTTCTGTTTCCCTGACTTCGTCTGTGTCTGGAACATTGTTTTCTGTACACTGCCGCTCGAAGGAGTCAGCAAAAGCTTCTGCCTTCTCAGCGTCAGTGTAGACAATACCTTGTTCTCCGTGTATTGGTGGGCATGGTTTTCGTCTGCCGTGTCTAAGTACTTTCTGGATTTGCCATAATGAGTTGTCCTCGGTGTTGAGCTCTTCCAACCTGCTTTGCCACTGACGATTTCGGAGTTCGTTGAGTTCATGCCGCAGGATTCTGCAGGCATTATTCAACGCTCTTCTATCATCTGGGGCAAGCGTACGTTGGAAGCGTCGTTTTAGTTGGCGTTTTTCTCTGATCATTGCTCTGATGTTAGGAGGAATTTCGAGTTCGAATTTGGTGGTTGGTATGTTCTTCGAACATCTGTCCATTGCTTCCTTAATTGCCCTCGCGAGGTGGGCTACGGCTTGGTCTAGGTCGTGTCTAGTCTCTATTCGTGGTATGTCCCCTATAGTGTTGTGTACAGTCTTTTGGTATTTTGACCAGTCCACGATTGTTTTTGTGTCTTGAATGTCTGTTCTGTGTTCGTCGCCTATCGTGATTAGTATGGGATTGTGGTCGGCTGTCCCTTCGTCTAGTGTCTCTATCTTTACTATAGTCGCTATTGATTGTATTAGTGCTATGTCTAGTATGTCCGGTGTTGCGTTTTCTCGCGTTGGGTAGTGAGTCGGGAGGTGGGGGGCTATTACGTAAATGTTGTCTAGTTCTGAGAGTATGTTTGTCAGTTTCCGTCCGCGTGGGTTATCGTTAATGCAATTCCAGTCTCTGGATTTCGCGTTTAGGTCACCTATTAGTATTGTTGGTGAGTGGTCTGAAAAGCATTCGCTGATCTCTTCACGTGTAATGTTTGGTCCTGGTGGGATGTATACCGAAATGATTTTTAGTCTTCCGCGTGTAGTGTTTATTGTGACCGCTACTGTTTCACCCTAGTGTGAGTGTCGGTTTTTTGTCTAGGTTCCGCCTGATGGGTGTCTTGTGAGTCTGTCTCCTCGGTAACAAGTGTAACCTGGTATGTGGAAGTCTTTAGTAGGTGTTAGTAACGTCTCTTGCAGAGCCATAACGTCTACCTGGATTCTCGAGAGGAGTTCCATTAGTTCCGGTTTCCGGAGTGCTGCACCGTGCAGGTTCCACGAACTGATCTTAAGTGATTCAGGTAAACGTTGTGCTTGCATTTACTGTCCGTTGTTGAGTTGTTTGAAAAGAGACATGAATGCTTTCATTTTCTCTATGTCCTCGAGTGTGATTCTGGCCATTAGGCATTGGAGTGTATTTGTGTTTGTGTTTTTGGTGTGTGTTTCTTGTCTTTGTGGCTGTTGTTGTTGCGTCTGTGGTTGTGTTTGTCTTTGTTGTTGTGGTTTTGGTTGTGTTGTGGGTCGTGTTGTGTTAGTGTTTGTCTGTGTTTTTGGTTTAATTTTAGGGAATACTTCGCATCCCCTGTAGCTGGCTGTATGATTTTTACCGCAATTTGCGCATTTAATTTGCTCTTTTGTTATGTTTGGCATGCAATCCCGTGATTCGTGATTTTGACCGCATTTAACGCACCTGGCCTGCGAGTGGCAGCACTTTTGTGCGTGCCCAAACCATTGACATTTATGGCATTGCGAGACGCGACCCTTTGGTTTGTGCTGGGCTTCGGCCCGCACCACCTCGCAACGTCATAAATGTTTTTATCCGCGTTTTTAGGTGTTATCAAGAAAAGCGGCAGTGTACCTCTGCCGCCTACTCTAGATATTAGCTGATGGCATTCTAAAATTTCAAAACCTTGTTCGATAAGGTCCTTTTTAACTTACTCAGCTTTCATAGTTGCTGGGAGTCCTCTTAATACCACGTGTAGTGGTATTTCTGATCGCAGTTGGTAGGTGTAAAAACCTAGGTTTTTACCCTCCAGAAATTTAGTTGCTTTGCGCCAGTTTTCCACGTCTGTTGTTTGAATCGCGATTCCGTTTGCGGTGTTTTTTGCTTTTATTGCATGAATCCCGTTGTTTATAAATTGTTTTGATAATTGATTCCAGCCTTCCGTTTCGCGCAGGATTATTGGAGGTGGTAGTTTACCCGTTGGGTCTAATACCACTGCCATTTCTTCGTTTACTTCCGGTTTAGGGGGGGGAGCTTGTTTCAATGCCTCCGCCATTGATTTTTTAGTTTCTGAGGGTGCTATTTGCCCCTCAGCTTGTCTTTTGGAGGAACCAGCTTGCGATTCCGCCTGGGGTGAGGTTTTTCCCGTTTTTGGGATTACGTTTGGCGTTGTAGGTTTTTGATTTTCAACTTTTTCGCCCGTACCGGTGTCTCCCTTCTTACTAACTACTATGGGTAGTTTTGTAAGTGGGAGGGGCTTTGGCTGCAGTTTCTCTTGCAGATCCTGGATCGTTTGTGTCAAACGATCTATTTTCTCCGTTAGCTTGAGGAGCTGGTCTTGGAGAGCTGCGTTGCGGTTTTCCGCATCACGCGTTTTTTCGAGTTGAATCAATCGTTCATTCTCGGCTGCTTGGGCTCTTTCTTTTAACTTATTAAATTCCTCTTCCCGGGCGGCTTCGCGAGCTTTTTCCTCCCTAAGTTTTCGTTTTAGTTTTTTAGTCTCCTCCTCGCTTGGAGTTGTTAGGCTGGTTTTTCTAAAACCACTCCGACTCCTACGGTTTTCATCATCCGACGGCATGATGATTTCTTATTATTTATTTAATTATGTTGATAATTATTATATTTTGGTTTCGTGACACGTCCAAGCACTTCTTTTTATGACTGGTTTTCGCCACTCATGGCTACTAACCAACAAAAAGTTTGTGTTTCCGTGTATTCTGTTT